TTCTGGAAGCACAGACTTGGATTGGGAAAGCAGAGAGGCCAATTGGAAGACCAGGGTGCCCTCTGTCCATGATGCCTTCCCAGCATTTCATCCGAACCCTTCTGGAAGGGGCCAGTCTTAGAGCATCGAGGCCAGGTTGGGTCAGAGCGGAGAGAGCATGGCAGGTCGGTGGAAAGACAGAACATGGCAAGAGCAGCAGAGGCCTGCTGATCTGGGCCTATGATTCCCCTTGTGATGGCAGGGGTGGTTGGAGTTGACTTTTTTATGTGCTCAGATGTATGTCACAAAACGTCTGCCACTTGAACCATCTGTAAATGTATAATTCTCGTGGCCTTGCTGATGGCCACCAAACTGTGCATTCCACGCTGCCTGTTCCCAAACAGAGACTCTGGGCCCCTTCCGCAAGGATTCCCTCAGCCATTTGTTTAGATGGCGCTTTATTTGTAGAGCCCTGCCCCATGCGCCCTTGAACCCCAGGGACCCAGACCCTGGCCCAGTCGGTCTGCCAGTGCCAGCCCATGCTTGAGCCCTTCAGCCGGCGTCCTTTGACCACCGCCTGCAGTGGTCTTCTCGGATAAGCTGCCCTGTCTGCCAGCACCCCGCTCCCACCCTTGGTTTCAAGCACAGTGGAGCTCCCTGAGCCCGCCATACATGCCTGTCACCTAACTGATGGTAGACTGGACTTTCCTGGTGGGTTCAGAGTCACTAAGCAAAGGCAGGCCCAAGGGTGGGTGTTCAGTAAGCCTCAATCCAGACATTTGTAAGACACTGAGGCACGGGCCCTGGGAGCTAAGACGTAAAGACGGGCCCGGGAAATCATGGATTGTTGCCTGTTGTGCATGTATAGGAAGCTCCTCCTCTATAGTGCTCCTGCCCAGTAGCCTCTGCTTGTATACTTCTGGTAATGGAGAGCTCACTCCTTCCCCAGGCATCCTCTTTCATCTTTGACCAGGTGTTCTTGTTAAAAAGAACAAGCTAGGATTGAGCTGAACTCTGCTCCCCTGCTATGCCTCCTCCTCCTCAGCACTGGTTCAGTCCTCAGGGCTCCGTGGAGCCAGGCTTTCTGCCCCCATTGCTATCGCTGCCTTCCAGAATCCAGCACTCTGCCCACCCCACACCCTACCCTTATCCCCTACCCATAGGCCTTCCTTGGGCTTTGCCTGTACCACCTGGGCAGCTTCTGCCCCAGTCATTTCAGCACTCAACCAGCCAAAGCGATCGGTGTCCTCCAGCAGGCCGACTTGGGAGCCAGGCACTTGCCCTGCTTTTGGACTGCCTCCCAAACCCAAGCCCATCCTTGGGGGTAGAGGAACAGCCTTCCCTGAAAACCGCAATGTCCCCTTCACAGTGCCCCTTTGTCACGTGATCCCCTTTCATGGGGCAGCTCCTCCTTCAACTGCGTGGTGTCCACTCAGTGGTGTCCACGGGTCAGCCAGCCAGAGTTCTGGGGCCCCAGAGCTTGCCGCCCACCTCCCGCCAGCACCTGCTCTTAGGGGCCTGTGCCCCACCTACTAGATGATCTTCCTGTGATTTCCAAGCAGAAGCCAGAAGAGTGGGTAGCACAGTGAGAAGGTGCTTTCTCTTGTGGGGTAATAAGCACAGCCCTATTGGAGCTCATTAACCTTTGGGACCTCTAGCCATGCTCTGCATGGGGGATTTGTAAGCTGGGTCCTCTCCAGTCCTAGAAAAAGCAAGTACCCTCTCCCCTCCCTGCCCCTTCTTTCTCCTCTCTGGCCTACCCTTCCTCCTTCATCCCCTTTTCCCTCTCCCTCATTCACTTCATTCTCCTCTCCTCTCCTCTCCTCTTCTCTCTCTCTCTCTCTCTCTCTCTCTCTCTCTCTATCTCTCTTCCCCTTTTCCCCTCCCCTTGTGCCTTAATTCCCTTCATTCCACCTCCCTCCCCACCCCATCTCTCGCCTCTCCTCTCTCCCCTCTCATTCCCTTCATGCTCCCTTATCCCTCCTTCTTTCTCTGTCCCTACCTCAATGCACTTTACAAAATAAGCCTGTGCACCCCGCCCCACCCCCACCACCTTCAAGTCTTCTCACCTAAGTGCATCTGACTGGAATCTACCCAGGCAGACGCTCTGCTACTGGGGCCCCTGGTGGGAATGCAGGGTCCTTGTGTGAGGATGTCTGTCTATGAGGCCTACTGATGATCTGCCTGCTGCTACCACCTCCGACAACTAACAACTGCTTTGGCCCAAGTGGCCAAATCCCGAATTAGGCCACTCTTCCTCTGCAGTGATGGCACTGGGGGTAGATGGGCCCTAGGAGCAGGTGGAGAATGAGGAGGGGAGCCCAGCCTGAGGCTGGACCATATATTGAGATGTGCTGAGCCCTGGTGGTGCTGTGGGTTGGGGGTTGAGCTATGAAGTGCAAGGTAAGCAGTTGGAAACCACTGGGGCAGTTCTCCGTCCTGTGGAGTCTCTGAGAGTTGGAATCTAGGTGATGGCAATGACTTCTTTTGGTGCTGGTAGGCTTCAGTGGGTGACGGGGATGGGGGGTGGAAGCGGGGAAGGAGAGTGCTTTGCAGTTCCTTAGGCCTCAGAGGGAAGCTGGCCCCAGAAGACCTTCCTGGGACCCATCTGTGTACGTAGCCTTTCATGAGATCAGAAGGGGAAGAGCCCGGGGCTTTGGCTAGTTCTCAGGAGACTTCCTGCTAGCCCCAGGCACAAGCTCACAGTGGTGGCCATCATGTCCACCCACCCCCTCTCCCCGCCATGACAGTGTGGCCCTAGAAAGATGAGTCACGTGAGCACTCCATCACCAGGCAGGCCCTTTCAGCCACCGTTTCCTCTTGGTCACTGAAAACATTGGTCGTTTCCTGTTTTCTCCATTTTCCTGCGATTCGAACTGTCAGTGTCAAAAGGCAACAACTGTGTGCTCAGGGCTTATCTTCAGGGCACACTGAGGCCAGACAAAGAATGGAGGCTCCGGCTACAGAACAGAGAACACCACATCCACATTATCGGGAGCCATGGCGGAGCCCAGGCCTGGCCCTGGATGGCTCAGTGGGGTCTGCAATGTGGCGGCACCCCAGAGTCACCACGGACGAGGGCTAGGGGCAATGGCACTGTCTGGATGTGAGAGTTTCTGTCATAATGCCACCGAACAGACTGTTCTTCCGTTTCAAAGGCTGTGGATTTCGTTCCTCCTGGGTGAAGCCCACACTGCTGAGAAGCGTGCGCCCCGTGTCATCTGCTGGCCTGCCCAGGCCCTCCACTTTGGGAACCCTGCCCCAGCAGCCTTGGGTGGGGCTGGCTTTCTCCCCACATCCTTCCCGTTGGACTTTGCTGCCCTTCCTTAGGCTTTCTTCCTAGCCCCCAGCAGCACCCCTTAGAACTGTGCTATCTGCTCAAATAAACTGGGCCGCCAGTGAGCACAGGAGGCTGAGTTAGCAGGCCCCATCCATGACAACTGGTCCCTAGAAGCAGCCAGCAGAAGCCCTGGGCCTGGAGGGAGGAGCTATTGTGCTGCCCTGGAACTTTGGCGAGTCCTTTAACCTGTAGGAGCCTCGGCTGTCCCATCAGGAAACTGGGACCGCCAATGGTGTTTGTGCCCTACCCTCCTGGGGCTGGAAGGAGGGTCAGGAGGAAGGAGCGAAGTAAAGGGGCCAGGCTGAGGTGGAAGGACTGCCTGTGTCTGCCCACCACAGGGAAGTGACCCTTCCACCCTGCATATCTCAGCAACCCCCAGGGCACCCCACTTCTGGATGGTGTGTCCTTGGGTGCTGCTGGAATGACTCCAAGAATGCTCGGTGCTGGGAGCACTCACGAGGGCAGCCCCCTGACCCTTGTCCAGGACCCAGGGGGCCACTGGGAAGCAGCCTTCCCCCACATTCCTACACCCCCGCGCTGGGACAGAAAGAAAACAGGATCTATGGGAACCGAAGAGCAGCCCTGGTCTCGTGAAGTCCCTGCTGGTGGTGTTTGCCCCCTCTGCCTTGGCGGGACCTGAGGCCACACCTCAGCCAGGGCCCATCCCAGCATGGGCCCTTCCTCGCTCCCATCCCACTGAGCCCAGCTGGTGTGGAAGCCCCTTTTTCAAGCCCTCCTCTTTGTGCTCCGGTGGCATCTGGAGCCACTCCAGCCAGACAGTTGCCACTGGAGTATGCTGCCTGACCCAGCTGCCGAGTCGTGGGGCACACAAGGGGACAGACGTGGAGGGAAGTATCAAGTAAGGGCCTGGGAGCCAGATCTTGCCCCCAGGTTCTTGAAGCCTTCAGGGGACTCTCCTGGGCCACTCCCTCAGCTGCCTCCCTGCAGACAGGCAGCTCCTCCCAGTTGCCCCGCTCCAGCCAGTCAGGAGGAAGAAGGGCAGTTGGCACAAGGGTTTGACTTCTCCTCTTGTGGGAGAGTGCAGCCCTGTGGCAGCGTCCATTCTTCATGTCGAACCACCAGAAACACACTTTGGCCGGTTCCCCAAGCCAGCCTCGCCTAGGCTATACACACCTGCCCTTTCGCTCAGAGGCAGCTCAGTCCATACTTGGGGGATTCAGCGCCCAGTCCCTATCCTGGTTGCAGCACTGTGGGTTTATAGTCTGGCCAAAGCAGAGTAGTGTAGGCCTGTCACCTCCCGCCCTCTACACACTCTGCTTCTGTTAATGCAACCTAATGTGACATTTGCTACCTTGGTGACCACATCTCACTGCTGACCCATCCTGAGCAGCTGGACCTCCACAGTGCCTAAATCTTTGTCCCGTGCACTCTTGCTGTGAAGCTCTGCCCCCTCCCCATCTCGCATCCTATGCTGTTGGCAGTTGGGGGGGGTTGGTTTGTTTTTTTGAGCCCAAGTGGAAACGCCTTCTTTTATTTCTACCTATGGAATTTTGCTAATTTTGCTTGGGAGGGCGGGGCCTGCATGCGTTGTGTGTGTTGATGCACTCACTCATGCTTTCTGCTCCACCAAAGCCACGTCCTGAATCCCCACGATGCGATCCCAAGGCTAATTGTGCGTGGTGCGTGTCATCTAACATGCCTTTTTTCATTTGTTGTTTAGCCAGAGAAATGGCGACCAGGTCTTACGGCAATGACCCCTGAGCAGCACAGTGCATATTTAGCCCAACAAATGAGTCAATTTCAAGGTAAGCAGGGAAGGTCAATGTGTCTGAATGGGAAGCATGTGTGGTGGGTTGGGGGCGCAGCAGTGATGCCCTTCAGGGTCAGGAGGGAAGGTTGGAATTTCTCAATGGGGTATAATAGAGAATCAGCCGGGGGTGCCACACTCGCAAGGTTCTGTTGGAACTTACAAGGTGACTAAGCTAGACTTCCTGTCTTCCATGATACGATGTCACTCACAAGTGTAGGGAGTCCGGGAACATTGGAAGGAGTCTCTGGGATGCCTTTGGAACTGACCCCACTCCTCTCTCTCTAGCTGTCCAAGAACTAGTCACCTGCAAACGCAACCAGATCAAGGCAAGCCTCGGGCCCAGCCAACCCTTGATACCGTCCAGCACCAGGCTTCTTCTTAGCGATCTGAGTCCACGAACAATCTCCACCACTGGGCCCCCAAACCAGGGCGCTGTGAACCTGACCTCACCAGCTCCCTGCCAGCAGCCAGCAATCTTCAGCTCTGGCCCCCAGTGTGCCCTGCCCCTGAGCTCTGACCAGCAGGCCCAGAGTCTGAAGGCAGCACCACCGGGAGTGCTACTGCCTAGCTTCTGTCCCCCCCAGTTCCATCACCCGAGTGCTCTCAACGATGGCCCCTGGGCTGGGGCTGTCGGGGCAGTGGCAGCTAGGACAGCAGTGGTCTCTGGGGGAGTAACTCCAAGCCAAACAGATAATAGCAATCAGCGGCCTTTTGATAGCAACTCCATCTTCGCCAAGGTGCCCATGAAAATGCCTCCAATCGCCCCAGTCTCCCCACTGCAGCAGGCAGTTGTGCCCCCCCACCAAACCGCAGGCATTGCTCTAACCAACCACCCCCTCAGCCTGCTGGGCAGCCAGAGCCTCAGGCAAAGCCCGGCACAGGGCCCTGTGCCTGAGCTGAACGCCTCCAAGTCCCTCCAGCAGGGTCTGGCCAGCTTCAATCCCACGAGTCCCATGCAGGGCATTGAGCCGCCAAGCTACGTGGTTGCTGCGGCTGCTACCGCCGCTGCCTCAGCCGTTGCTGCCAGCCAGTCAGCAGGCACAGCCAACAAAGCAGGTGCCTCCACTGAGCTGCGACCCCATGACTCTCTGCCCCAGTCTCCCCTAGATGATCTGATCTCGGCCCTGGATGGCAATGAGGTGGATTTCATAGAAGCCCTCCTGGAAGACCCTACTGATCACCCCAATGAGGACTGGGCGTCCCACTTGAGGCTGATCGATGACATTTTGGGGCAGAATGGTAGCCAGCCCACCTAGGAGGCCCAGAGAAAGCCCCAAGGTGACATCCCCCCAAGGGTGAAGTGATTACATTGTAAATTCACAGATAGCCCATTGGAGGGACTTCAGCCCATGTCCCTCAACCCCACTCACTACCTGTGACAAAACTGCAAGCTGGTGATTTTTCAAGCTACTTGTACAGAGTTGAAAATTTTGTAAATGGTTTTCCTAAGCATTCATGACAGAAGTAATTTATACTTCATTTTGTGACTTTGTAAATAAAGTGACAACACCGTTTTTGTTTCGGGAGAGTTGTGTTTCTTGTCCATCGAGTGTGTGTGTGTGTGTGTGTGTGTGTATTACACATTGTTACAAACACGAAAACTGTCTTGTGAGCTCCAGTGAGACTTTGTTGAGCCGGAAGGATGAGTCACTTTGGGTTCTAACGTGGGCAATGTATTTTTTCCATGTTTGCTAAAAATGTGATCGCCTTGTGTGATTCTTAAATCTCCTTTGCAACCCTTTCCAACTCCACTAGCTCTTCACCTGATGAGAGGAAGCTGTGGGACCCTGAGGGCCCCCCCAGGGGACATTTTCCAGGGCACTGGAAAGTGTTTTGGATTGGGAAAGCAAGCCCAGGCTGTGTCCCCTGGTCGCAAACCTGTCAATATTTGTTCTGTAAGACTGTGGAGTTTGGGGCTTTGGGGGGGTGTGGGAGGGGAGAAAAAACGTCTGTCAACATGAATAGTTGCTTTGGGCTTGTCTTTGATTGTTTCTGCAGTTACCGTCATCTATATTAAAGTGTGTGATGGAAGCCCACCGCCACTGTCCTGTAAACCTTGCGCAGTGTCCTGGCTTTGTGTAACGACATTTTCATTGCCACGTCGTGTGTTTCAGCTTTCCCTCTGAAACCTGGTGTCTGTTTCAAGCCAGCGCAATTTGTCCTTCCTTCTGTAATAAACAGCGCAGAGAAAAAGTGCCTGGGTGGTCTCTTCTGTCAAGGTTGCATTCCAGGTACCTGTCCCACAGGTCCCAGGGAGGGGAGGGGAGGAGGGTCAGACACTTGCTGAGGGCATAGATTCCCCTCATCACCCATCACCTGAATGGGGAGCGAGATTTACCCAGCTCCAGGCCACCCCTGCCTTCGGTGTCTCGATATCCATGTGTGGCCCCGGGAATTAGAAGTAATGACACAGTGCAGCTAGGGAGCTGCTCTGCTTGCTGCGCAGGGAAATGCGGTCACTAGCCTTACCAGTAAGAGCCTGGGAGTGCCCCCCTCCTGAAGTCTGTAGTCACGGGAGAGGAGGGTCTTCATCAGGCTACCTGCCTTCACACTGAACTCAGCCCTGCTCATTGGGAGTGGTAGCAATGGAGGACTCGGGCACCTTGTGTGGGGGGCAAGTGACATGGGTTCCCTACAACACCCCCCCCACACACACACACACACTCTGTGGAGTCTTGCCCCATGAAGTCCTTTGCCACCCACTCCTAGTCCACTTAGAGCCCTGCCCCCTCTGCTGCCCCATCCCTTCCCAATGCTGCCCCTCAGCCTCAAGGTGCCCCAGCAGTGCCAGGTCACAGGCAGGCCTGGCTCCCTTCAGGGACACTGGGGCACTTCAGCCCTGCTCTCCTGCCCTCCACCCTCTGCCTCTCTATAGGCCTCTGGGCTGCAGTGCCAGGCAATCCCGGGGCTAAGGCCCATCCCCCGTCTACCCCATCCCCAGCCCTGTCAGGGCCCTCCAAAGCCTTCCCCAGTGCCGCATGGGTCACAGCTGTCCTGTCCTCAGAGTGTAAATATAAAGGAATTTGGCCCGTGAGCTAGTCCCACCCTCCATTCGGAGACAGCGCCTCAACTTCCCACCGCAGCCCCCAGGGCAGCCTCCAGGCCGCTTCCTGCCCGCTTGCCCTCAGACCCAGCCTGGCGTGGCTACCCCCAGCTGCCCTTTCCCTCCACCCTGCCCCTCCCAGTGGTTTCACTATAAACCTAAAACTGCTCTAAAGACTAGTTTCTTTGGAGGGGAAAAAGAAAGATTTTTAGAGGAAATGGATTGCTGGTTTTATATTGTCTTGTTCAGATAAACATCCCTGCAGTGAGGCATGTTGCCATGACGAACCTTCTCCCCCCCCCTCCCGCCTCAGTGCCCGGGGAACATGGGTGTCAAGGACCCCACCTGAAAACTCTGCTCCCTGGCCTATCTGGGACCCACCAAAGGTGGGCCCTGTCCTCCAGCTGCCCACTCCAGCGCTCACTGCATTAGTGCCACAATCCTCTGGGTGCAGCATCTCCAAACCTCCACTGGGGGTGCCTGAAGAAGCCAGGCCCAGCGCCCTGTTTGAAATGGGGTGGGGCAGGGGGGTCGGGGTAGAACCAGAGCGGACTCAAGATAAGACACGTACACACACACACACACACACAAAAACACACACTGGTGTGTCGTAATGGGTCTTGCACATGCAGTCACAGTTTCTGTCCCGCAAACAAGAGGGATTCTACTTTTATTGTTTGTTTGAAACAGTGCTTTCATTGGCTCCAGAATTACGTGGGCCCCATTAGAGAAGGGCTTGGACCGGGCCTCCGTGAAGCTGAGATGACACCAGGCCGTGGATTTGGACACGAGGAGCCTGCTCCATTCTTTCCTTCTCCACTGGGTCGTTCTCCCTCTCTTCCCAGCCCTTCCCCACGTGGACGCTCCCCTACTGGAGGACTAGGGGCCTGGCCTTTGTAGCTTCTGCTAGTTGGTGGCCATTGAGAATGCCAAGCTTGTGGCCCCGAGCCCCATGGAGAGAAAGCTGTGTTGCCTCGGTTCTGTGGGCCACTTTCCTTTGCATTTGCTCAATCACACGGCCCCACACTCAGCCACAAATAAAGAGACGTGTGGCCCTTTCAAAGCGTCACGCAGAGCCTGGTCCTCCCTATGCACCTCCCGCCCAGAGCCCTGCCCCTCGTGAGTGACTTCTCTGGGGACAAAGGTTTGGCACACTGACCAGCCTGGCCTGTAAGCGCAGTGGGAGGATTTGGCCAGTGTAGTGTCAGGCCAAAGGCAGAGGTCCAGTTGCCCAGGGACTCATGGGACTTGGAAACAGCCTGTAGGCCAAGGAACTGCCCAGGGCAGGGTGAAGCACTCAAACCCCGGCACCACAGGCTCTGGATGCAAATCACGACTCCAACACTTCCTAACTGTAGGACCTCGGACAGGCCAGCCAATGAGACCGCTGCCTTCTAGAGGAGCCCTGGTGGCACAATGGCTAAAAGTGCTTGGCTTCTAACCAGAGAGTCAGGGGTTCAAACCCACCAGCAGCTCCTCCACAGGAAACGGATGTAAAGATTCACAGACAGCCTTGGAAACCCTGTGGGTCAGCTCTACCCTGTCCTGTGGGGTTGTTATGAGCCAGAGTCGACTTGAGGGCAATAGATTTGTTTGGGGTTTTTATGCCTCCTCTGACTAGTGTGAGGAGTAAAATGATCCATAGATTCCTTGAATGATTAAACACAAAGTCACCATCTGACCTAGCAGTTTCACTCCCAAGAAAGATGAAACGAAAATACATGTTCACACGAAAATGCATTCCCTCATTCTAAGCACCACAGTTGGCAATGGTTGAAAGATGGAAACAACTCACATGTCCGTCAACGGAGCCATGGGAAAACAGCATGGGGTACACACAAGCAGACAAACAGGCTTCAATGTGTCTCTGGAACCAGTGAGTGGCTGCAGGTAAGTCCTCTCAGTCAGACACTTAGTCTCGCTAGGATGCTTTCAACAACAACAACAACAACAACTACAAAAGTTACAATCACAGCATCCATCTGCCTGTCCCTGGAATACACACAACTCAGATTTACTGCAGCAATCGTATTATAACAAATTCAAAACCCCATTAGACCAGCTACCCCAACAACAGTAACAAACCAACTAGCAGACGACAGACAAATAAACAAAACCAGGCAAACCAAAGGCAGGAAAACAAAAACTCATAGGAACACTAAAGTCAAACTTTTGTCAATCATCCCCCTGGGGTATCAGGCGATTGCACTTCTAACGTCATCAATTTGTCCAATGAAACAGCATCTGGTCACTGTTGGGATGAGGCGTCTATGTGAGAACAGCTCCACGGTGAGCCTCAGCCCGTGAGCCCTTTCTCCGCACAGTTCCAGCTCCCATTTGCTTAAGCTCTGTTTACCCTAAGCGTGGGGGTTGGTGCCCGGGGGAAACTTCCTGGATCAATTCTTCCAAGTTCAAATCCCTACCCAACATATTCAAAACCTGTCATGTCGCTGAGAGGGGGTCATCGAGGTCCTCAATATATGGTGATTCTGGGTCCCTTTCCATTGCACACCCCCCAAACCAGAGTTTTCCCCACAAGGTCCAATGACCGCCACTTCCACAGGTCCAAGGCTGCCATTCTCTGCTTCCCATCTGAGTACCCAAGTCATCAATCCAAGCATTGAGGTACCTTTGAGGCAGGGCTTGGTTCATTCTGCCAGGCCTCTACGTTAAATCCTTCTGGTGTAGCCCCTGGGTTATGCCATGCTGCCCTCCAGGTCAGTGTCCAAGGTCATCATGGTGTTTAATCCACAGTGTGTTTCACTGAGGGTTGGGTAGAAACCTATTCGTTGTGTCTACCCGGAAAGATAACAGAGCAGTTAGTGGGTTTGAACTGATAGCCTTTGTTTCGCAATTCAATGCTTACCCAACCAATCCACAGGCTCTAGAGAAGGGCTAGACAGATGGAAACACCACCTTCAGAATTCTATAGATCTAGATGTAGAGAGAGCATGCCAGATCTAGAGAAAGTATTGCTAACCAGTAATTTTTCACTTTGATGTTTTCTTTAATCAAGCAATATTTTTTAACTTATCCTCATTAATACAATGGGATATCATGCAGTTGTAGAGAAAGGAAGTTCTGAAGTATGCCGTGACATGGATGAATCTCAACAACACGAAACTGAATGAAATAAGTCGGTCACAAACGGACACATATTGCATGATTCCATTTCTATGAGATGTCTAAAATACACAAGTGCATAGAAACAGAAAGTAGATTAGTGGTTACTTGGAGGCTGGGGCGGGGAGGTAGGGGGCAGGTGCACTATGGAAAAGGAAATGGGGTTGTTCTTTGCGGAGATGAGGTTACTCTAAAACTGATGGTGGCTCTGGCGGCACCTCTCTTTGAAGAGGCTCACAATCCTCGCGCTATACACTCACTATGGTAAGTTGTGGGGTGTATGAGTTAAAGCTCCACAAAGCTACTTTTTTAACAAAAAGCATTGTATTGGGGGCTCATACAACGCTTCTCACAATCCATACATACATCCATTGTGGCCAGCACATTTGTACATCTTTTGCCATCATCATTCTCAAAACATTTGTTTTCTACTTAAGCCCTTGTATCAGCTCCTCGTTTCCTCCCCCTCCCTCCCCGTTCCCCCCTCCCTTACGAGCCCCTGATAATTTATAAATTATTATTATTTTGGCATATCTTATACTGCCCCATGTCTCCCTTCACCCACTTTTCTGTTGTCTGTCCCCCAGAGAGGAGGTTATATGTAGAGCCTTGCAATCTGTTCTGCTTTTTAAAAATGAAAAGTCATGTCACAAACTGTTCATCAAGAAAACAAAAGAAATGTCCCTTTCCCAGTGAATAACATAATCCTCAGGCTTCCAAAATCTAGGCACCCTCAGGAAGGGGACTGGGGCACAGAGCTCCCAGCCTGGCTCTGGCATGCTCCAGTTGGGCTGTGGAGAATCAGGGCACCAGAGCTGAGCATTGGCTGGGAGGAGGCCATGGGCCCAAGCAAGGAAACCTGTGGGGAGGAGAACATAGCGTTGGCCCAGCTTCGTTCCCTCCTGCTACCCCTGTGACAGATTGAATAACTGAATTCCCTCCCCCAGTGCCCCACCCCTCCAAGCTCTGGTTTGGACCTAGCGTCTTTCTTTGAAGATGTCAGTGCAATGAAACAAGGTTGTGCAGCAAT